GAGGGTAAATCTTGCCTGACTGGCTTAATAGAATTCTACGATCAGGTGACAAAGATTAAGCAAGAAAGAGAGGGCTGGGCGGACTGCATTTTCTTGGATTGTCGGAAAGCCTTTGACACAGTACCGCATAAGAGGCTGGTACATAAGCTGGAATGACAGGCAGGTGTAGCTGGTAAGGTGCTCCAGTGGATAAGGGAGTATCTAAGCAATAGGAAGCAGAGAGTTACGGTGAGGGGTGAGACCTCCGATTGGCGTGAAGTCACCAGTGGAGTCCCACAGGGCTCTGTACTCGGTCCTATCTTGTTTCTGATATATGTAAATGATCTCCCAGAGGGTATCGATTCATTTCTCTCAATGTTTGCAGACGATGCTAAAATTATGAGAAGGATTAAAACAGAAGAGGACTTTGAGGCTTCAAGAAGACCTAGACAAGCTGAAGGAATGGTCGAACAAATGGTTGTTAGAGTTTAACCCAACCAAATGTAATGTAATGAAGATAGGTGTAGGGAGCAGGAGGCCAGATACAAGGTATCATCTGGGAGAGGAAATTCTTCAGGAGTCAGAGAAGGAAAAAGACTTGGGGGTTGATATCACGCCAGACCTGTCTCCTGCAGCACATTTCAAGCGGATAACATCAGCGGCATATGCCAGGCTGGCCAACATACGAACGGCATTCAGAAACTTGTGTAAAGAATCATTCAGAACATTGTATACCACATATGTCAGGCCAATCCTGGAGTATGCAGCCCCAGCATGGAGTCCATATCTAGTCAAGGATAAGACTAAACTGGAAAAGGTTCAAAGGTTTGCCACCAGACTAGTACCCGAGCTGAGAGGTATGAGCTACGAGGAGAGACTACGGGAATTAAACCTCACTTCGCTGGAAGACAGAAGAGTTAGGGGGGACATGATCACCACATTCAAGATTCTGAAGGGAATTGATAGGGTAGATAAAGACAGGCTATTTAACACAAGGGGAACACGTACAAGGGGACACAGGTGGAAACTGAGTGCCCAAATGAGCCACAGAGATATTAGAAAGAACTTTTTTAGTGTCAGAGTGGTGGACAAATGGAATGCATTAGGGGGTGATGTGGTGGAGGCTGACTCCATACATAGTTTCAAGTGTAGATATGATAGAGCCCAATAGGCTCAGGAATCTGTACACCTGTTGATTGACGGTTGAGAGGCGGGACCAAAGAGCCAGAACTCAACCCCCGCAAACACAACTAGGTGAGTACAACTAGGTGAGTACACCGACACACCCACACACACACACACACACACACACACACACACACACACAAGGGGTAACAGGGGCCATCAGGGTGAAAGGTAACAGGTATCAGGGTGACAGGGTAACAGGCCATCAGGGTGAAAGGTTGCAAGGTAACAGGGGCCATCAGGGTGAAAGAAACTGCCCATTTTGTCTCCACCATCACCGGGGATGGAGCCCCGGTCCCCAGGATTACGTGCTCTGAGTGCTGTCGGCTCAGCCACCAGGCGCCCTGGTGGCTGTCCTGTCCTCCATAGACAGAGTGAGAGATCTACTAACCATGTAGTTCAGTGATATATTGAACAATCTTGAGATGAGATGATTTCGGGGCTTTAGTGTCCCCGCGGCCCGGTCCTCGACCAGGCCAATCAAGCACAGAAGGTGATTGTGGCGTGGTCTGCCCTCCAGTGGTATGAGAGGCAACTGCTTTATTTCTGGCGTGAGGAGTAAAGCGGAACTTTACTGTGGTGGCTCAGGCGGCTGTGGCATGTGAACGTAAACCTCTTAAATAAAGCTCCTTACTGTTTGTGTGGGAGAGTCGGTGAATAGAGCTCCTTAGGTGGGGTGTCACCACTAGTGACAGGTGTGTCACTAGTGACAGGTGTGTCACTAGTGACAGGTGTGTCACTAGTGACAGGTGTGTCACTAGTGACAGGTGTGTCACTAGTGATAGGTGTCACTTGTGGTGACACAGGGGTCTCTGGTGGTCTCCTGGGGGTTTCCTAGGGTCTCTGGAGAGTCTCCTGGGGTCTCTGAGGGGTCTCCTGGGGTCTCTGGGGGGGTCTCCTGGGGGTCTCTGGGAGGTCTCCTGGGGTCTCTGGGGGGTCTCCTGGGGTCTCTGGGGGGTCTCCTGGGGTCTCCTGGGGTCTCTGGGGGTCTCCTGAGGGTCTCCCGGAGTCACTGGGGGTCCTCCTGGGGTCTTTGAGGGTCTCAGGGAGTCTCCCGGGTTCTCTTGGGGTATCTGGGGGTCCTGGGGTCTCTGGGGGGTCTCCTGGGGTCTTTGAGGGTCTCCTTGAGTCACTGGGGTCCTCCTGGGGTCTCTGGGGTCTCAGGGAGTCTCCTGGGTTCTCTTGGGGTCTCTGGGGGGTCTCCTGGGGTCTCTGGGAGTTTCCTGGGGTTCCTTGGGGGTTCTCTGGGGTCTCAGGGAGTCTCCTGGGTTCTCTTGGGGTCTCTGGGGGGTCTCCTGGGGTCTCTGGGGGTTTCCTGGGGTTCCTAGGGGGGTCTCTGGGGTCTCTAGGGGGTCTCTGGGGGGGTCTCCTGGGGTCTCTGGGGTCTCAGGGAGTCTCCTGGGTTCTCTTGGGGTCTCTGGGGGGTCTCCTGGGGTCTCTGGGGGTTTCCTGGGGTTCCTAGGGGGGTTCTCTGGGGTCTCAGGGAGTCTCCTGGGTTCTCTTGGGGTCTCTGGGGGGTCTCCTGGGGTCTCTGGGGTTTCCTGGGGTTCCTAGGGGGGTTCTGGGGTCCTGGGGTCTCTAGGGGGTCTCTGGGGGGGGGTCTCCTGGGGTCTCTGGGGGTCTCTTGGGGGGTTTCTTGGGGTCTCTGGGGATCTCCTGGGGTTTCTGGGGGTCTCCTGGGGTTTCTGAGGGTCTCCTGGGGTCTCTGGGGGGTCTCCTGGGATCTCTGGGGTCTCCTGGGGAATCTCCTGGGGTCTCCTGGGGTCTCTGGGGGCCTCCTGGGGTCTCTTGGGGTCTCTTGGGGTCTCCTGGGCGTCTCCTGGGCGTTTCCTGGGGTCTCAGGGGGCCTCCTGGGGTCTCTTGGGGTGTCTTTGGGGTCTCCTGGGGTCTCCTGGGATCTCTGGGGGGTCCTCCTGAGGTCTCTGGGGGTCTCCTGAGGTCTCCGGGGGTCTCATGTGGTCTCTGGGGGTCCTCCTGGGGTCTCTGGGGGTCTCCTGAGGTCTCCGGGGGTCTCCTGGGATCTCTGGGGGTCCTCCTGAGGTCTCTGGGGGTCTCCTGAGGTCTCCGGGGGTCTCATGTGGTCTCTGGGGGTCCTCCTGGGGTCTCTGGGGGTCTCCTGAGGTCTCTGGGGGTCTCCTGAGGTCTCCGGGGGTCTCCTGGGATCTCTGGGGGTCCTCCTGAGGTCTCTGGGGGTCTCCTGAGGTCTCCGGGGGTCTCATGTGGTCTCTGGGGTCCTCCTGGGGTCTCTGGGGGTTTCCTGAGGTCTCCGGGGTCTCCTGGGATCTCTGGGGGGTCCTCCTGAGGTCTCTGGGGGTCTCCTGAGGTCTCCGGGGGGTCTCATGTGGTCTCTGGGGGTCCTCCTGGGGTCTCTGGGGGTCTCTGGGGGTCTCCGGGGGTCTCCTGGGATCTCTGGGGGGTCCTCCTGAGGTCTCTGGGGGTCTCCTGAGGTCTTCGGGGTCTCATGTGGTCTCTGGGGGTCCTCCTGGGGTCTCTGGGGGTCTCCTGAGGTCTCTGGGGGTCTCCTGAGGTCTCCGGGGGTCTCCTGGGATCTCTGGGGGGTCCTCCTGAGGTCTCTGGGGGTCTCCTGAGGTCTCCGGGGGTCTCATGTGGTCTCTGGGGGTCCTCCTGGGGTCTCTGGGGGTTTCCTGAGGTCTCCGGGGGTCTCCTGGGATCTCTGGGGGGTCCTCCTGAGGTCTCTGGGGTCTCCTGAGGTCTCCGGGGGTCTCATGTGGTCTCTGGGGGTCCTCCTGGGGTCTCTGGGGTCTCCGGGGGTCTCCTGGGATCTCTGGGGGTCCTCCTGAGGTCTCTGGGGGTCTCCTGAGGTCTTCGGGGGTCTCATGTGGTCTCTGGGGGTCCTCCTGGGGTCTCCGGGGGTCTCATGTGGTCTCTGGGGTCCTCCTGGGGTCTCTGGGGGTCTCCTGGGATCTCTAGGGGGTCCTCCTGAGGTCTCTGGGGGTCTCCTGAGGTCTCCGGGGGTCTCATGTGGTCTCTGGGGGTCCTCCTGGGGTCTCAGGGGTAAACACCTCCCCCTGTCCTGCGCAACAGCAAGATTTAGGATTGTTAAGCCAAACATTACTATACGGAAGAAGAGAAACTTGGCGAAGTGAGGTATACACCAATTATATTTTATGAGTAAACTCGGAACAGTTAGGCTGTTTCCCCATGTAAATTATACAGAATTCAGATGAAAAATTAAACTTCTTTTCGCACTTTCCATCAAACTCATTTTTTTTTTTGGGGGGGGGGGACATAAACAGGGGGGCTGGGGGGGGGCTGGGGGGCAGGTCCCCCCCCCCCCATGACGAGCCTGGAGCCAGGGCCGTAATGACCAGAGGTAAACAAGTAATATCAACAGTTTGCTCTCACAAACAGCCATAAACACAATATTAGCGTGTGCTCCTATTGAGGTCTGCGTCAGAAACCGACCAACTCCCGTTCCTGGCCACCAGCGCTGGCGTCTGGACCGGCCGAGATGGGTAGGGGGAAGGTGGGGAAGGGGGAGAGGATGGGCGGGAGATGGGGAATGTGTCACAGGATGGGCTGGAGATGGGTAAAGAACACAGGATGAACATAAAAATATTAGAACATAAGAATAGAGGTAACTGCAGAAAGTCTATTAGTCCATACGAGGCAGCTCCTATTTATAACCACCCAATCCCACTCATATACATGTCCAACCCACGTTTGAAACAATTAAGGGACTCCACCTCCACCAGGTTACTAAATTGGTTCCACTGCTCAACAACCCTGTTACCGAACCAGTATTTACCCAGGTCTTTCCTAAATCTAAACTTGTCCAATTTATACTCATTGTTTCGTGTTCTGTCTTGTATTGATACATTTAAAACTGTATTAATATCCCGTGAACAAATGGACTAAGTATAGTGTAGTGTCTATTATATCCCCTTTGTTATATCCATTCATCCACTTGAACACCTCTATCAAGTCACCCCTAACTCTTCGCCTTCCTAGAAAATGTAATTTAAGCTTTGTTAATCTTTCTTCATATGAAAGATTTCTAATTTGGGGAATTAACTTAGTCATCCTACGCTGGACACGTTCAAGTGAATTTATATCCATTCTATGGTACGGCGACAAAAAACTGAACTGCATAATCTAAATGGGGCCTAACTAGAGCAAGATATAGCTTGAGAACCACACCAGGTGTCTTGTTACTAACGCTTCGATTAATAAATCCCAGTGTCCTATTTGCCTTATTACGAGCATTGATCTTTTGCTTCTAAATTCTTACTAATCATAAGATGGGAGGATGTTCTTAAACAAATAGTAAAACTCAAACCAAACAAATCCCCAGGGCCGGATGAAGTGTTTTTGCCAGGGTGCTTAAAGAATGCAAAGAGGAGCTTTGTGACCCACTGTCAACCATATTTAATAAATCAATAGAGTCAGGCAGAGTGCCAGAGTTTTGGAAAGTTGCTAATGTGATACCAGTTTTTAAGAAAGGAGATAGATCACTTGCGTCTAACTATCGACCAATTAGCCTAACGTCTATTGTGGGAAAGTTACTCGAATCTATAATAGCAAATAAAATTCGTCTTCATCTTGAAAAACATAAATTAATAATTGAGTCGCAACATGGTTTTATAAATGGCCGTTCATGTTAACAAATTTGTTATCTTTTTATTCTAGCATAGTTGAGGCAGTTGATAGTGGTAAGGATTGTGATGATGTGTACCTTGACTTCAGCAAAGCTTTTGATACAGTGCCACATGAAAGACTGATTAAAAAGATAGAGGCTCATGGTATTGGGGGTGCTATATTAAACTGGATTAGGGCATGGCTATACCAAAGGAAACAGAGAGTTAGTATAAATGGAGTCAAGTCAGAGTGGGAAAATGTTGTAAGTGGAGTGCTCAAGGCTCTGTCCTGGGACTCTGTTGTTTATAATATATATAAATGATTTAGATTCAGGTTTGAGTAGCAACATTTGCAAATTTGCTGATGATACGAAAATCGGTAGGGAAATTAATTCGGAGGAGGACTCACTATCACTTCAAGTTGATCTAGATAGGGTTTTGAAATGGTCAAAGGATTGGCAGATGCAGTTTAATGCTGATAAATGTAAAGTTCTGAGGCTAGGTAATGATGATAGAGTTACAAGATACGAGCTAGATGGTGTTGAGATTGTGAAGTTGGATTCCAAAAGGGCTCTCGGAGTTATAAGAACATAAGAACAAAGGCAACTGCAGAAGGCCTATTGGCCCATACGAGGCAGCTCCCATCTATAACCGCCCAATCCCACTCATATACATGTCCACCCATGCTTGAAACAATCGAGGGACCCCACCTCCACAATGTTACGCGGCAATTGGTTCCACAATCAACAACCCTGTTACTGAACCAGTATTTACCCAAGACTTTCCTAAATCTAAACTTATCCAATTTATACCCATTGTTTCGTGTTCTGTCTAGTGTTGATACTTTTAATACCCTATTAATATCCCCTTTGTTATGTCCATCACCCACTTGTAAACCTCTATCATGTCACCCCTAACTCTTCGCCTTTCCAGTGAATGCAACTTAAGCTTTGTTAATCTTTCTTCATATGAAAGATTTCTAATTTGGGGAATTAACTTAGTCATCCTACGCTGGACACGTTCAAGTGAATTTATATCCATTCTATAAATATGGCGACCAAAACTGAACTGCAAAATCTAAATGGGGCCTAACCAGAGCAAGATATAGCTTGAGAACCACACCAGGTGTCTTGTTACTAACGCTGCGATTAATAAATCCAAGTGTCCGATTTGCATTATTACGAACATTTATGCATTGATCCTTTTGTTTTAAATTCTTACTAATCATAACTCCCAGATCCCTTTCGCAATCCAACTTCACAATCTCAACACCATCTAGCTCGTATCTTGTAACTCTGTCATCATTACCTAGCCTCAGAACTTTACATTTATCAGCACTAAACTGCATCTGCCAATATTTTGACCATTTCAAAACCCTTGTTTAGATGGCTGGAGATGGGGAAGGACCACAGGATGGGCTGGGGGGCGAAATGGGATTAAGAATTAAGGGGAAAGGGGATGGGAAAGGGTAGATAAGACAGAGGATATGTGGTGAAGGGGACGAAAGGAAGGGCTGCATATTGGATAAAAGAGTGCCAGAGTACCAGGAGGGATATGATGGGGCGAGTCGAGCCAGGCGGATTTTGGGTAGAGGTTGGGATAAAAATGGGTGACGCGGAACCGTTTGATAGGGGTGAGGGGGGAGTGATGGGGCGGGTGAGGATTTAGGAAGCCAGGGAGCAATATTCCTGCCCCTTCATTACTGTCCGCCGCCCCAGGGTGACGCCATCACACAGCCTCCATCTCTCTCTATTTTATTCCATATTTCATATTTATTTTCCGCTCCCCCCTTCCCCCCCCCCTCTCCCCATCAAGATTTGGTGTGTTATTAGAATGAGTGACGACTAACGACAGACCCCGGGTCGTTGTGACGACTAACGACAGACCCCGGGTCGTTGCGTCTCAAGTTAATGACTGAAAAGTGTCTATATCCTAGCAATAGATTTATTTCTCAACATCCACGAAATATGTCACGCAATATGCAATCCACAATAATCTCTTGCATCGTCTGGGATTCGAACTCGGGTCTAAACCAACACGAGACCTCTCGCTCTACCAGATATCATCCAGGGAGGTTGCGTGTCCAGTCGTCTGCTTGAGCGGTCACAACGTCACTAAACTGATGTACTAACTGGCCCGAACCTAACCTAGCCGTGGACCGACGGATAGAACATGTGGTCAGTTTTGCGAGCCGCTAATATTTGGAGTTCATTAGTTTTGGCCTTAGGGGGAGTTATGTGTCAACATGCTATGTGCTGTTCGAGAGAACGGACTGTGATCTCAGTTGAGGAGCAGTCTTATGCATGTAGAATGTTTGGGGTGAATAAAATTGTTTATATTATCAGTAATAATATATATATATATATATATATATTATATATATATATATATATATATATATATATATTATATATATATATATATATATATATATACACATACCATATTTGTATTCTTTTATCTTTTTATTTATAGTGATTTGTATAAAATTTCAACTTTTCTTGAATTGCTTAATTATTACTTATTACCGAGTAAACGTCTGACTGGATACAACTGG